TCAACCTAGAGAAATGTGAGTTTGGATGCACTAAGATCTTATACTTGGGTTATGAAGTATCCGCGGAAGGTATTAGGCCGGAAGATGCGAAGGTGACTAGTATCAGGGAGTGGCCACGACCTCAGACTGTTACTGAGGTCAGATCTTTCTTAGGAATGTGCGGCTACTATAGGAACTTCGTAAAGAACTATTCTACAGTCGCCTCTCCTTTGATTGATCTAACTCGACTTGACACGCCGTGGGATTGGAGTGATGAGTGTGAGGCTGCTTTCAAACGATTGAAGCATGCATTCATGAATCATGAGGTTCTTATGGTGCCCGATCCTCAGAAGCCATTCATAGTGACCACTGACGCAAGCCAATACGGCATTGGCGCAGTGCTGGCTCAACAGGATGGGAAAAAGTTGAGACCGATTGAGTATATGAGCAAAAAGATGCCATCAAAGAAGTTGGCTAAGTCCACCTATGAAAGGGAACTCTATGCTCTTTACAAAGCACTAGTTCATTGGAGGCACTTCCTGTTGGGACGATTTTTCTACTTGAGAACTGACCATCAGACTCTTAAATGGATCAAGACTCAACCGACTCTTTCTGATGCACTCAAGCGTTGGATTGAGGTCATAGATCAGTATGACTTCAAGCTAGAGTATCTGAAGGGAGAGTACAACAAGGTTGCAGATGCGCTGTCACGTAGAGCAGACTACCTAGGGGCGCTAGTTTATGAGTTTGGTGTATCTGAGAAAGTAACTCAATCACTGGTGGGAGCCTATCAGGAAGACCCTGTCGCGATGGACATCATACGCAAACTTCAGGCGAAAGACAAGGCCACAGAAGATGAGTTTGTGATGGTGGACGGGCTTCTCTTTCTTGATAAGGTCGGTTGTAAAAGATTAGTGATTCCATCTAGTGAACGTTTGCGTAGTTTGTTTCTAGGAGAATGTCATGACACAACCGGACACTTTGGTTACAAAAAGACGAATGCTAATCTAGTACAACGATTTTGGTGGCCTGGAATGTTAGAAGATGCAAAGAAATATGTGGAGACCTGTCAGGTCTGTCAGCGGGACAAGCCGCGAACTCAAGCATCGCTTGGGTTGCTAAAGCCCTTGCCTATCCCCGCTGGTCCAGGACAGAGTGTTTCCATGGACTTCATGGACACCCTGGTGACTAGTAAGAGTGGCAAGAGGCACATCTTTGTCATCATTGATCGATTCACCAAATACGCTAGACTAATTGCCATGCCAGAGACCGCAAGGACTGACCACGTCATCAAGTTGTTCATGGACAACTGGGTGCGTGATTTTGGTTTACCAAAGTCAATCGTTAGTGATAGACATGTCCGCTTTACAAGTGAGCTGTGGAAGAAGACTGCTGAGCAGATGGGCAGTCAACTTCAGATGACTTCAGGGAATCATCCCGAAGCCAACGGACAGGCCGAGCAGATGAACAGAGTTGTACAACATCTGCTGAGGCATTACATCAAGCCCGACCAGGATGACTGGGTTGAGAAGTTGCCTCTCATCGCCAGCCTGTACAACAACGCTGTACACAGCAGTACCGGCGTTAGTCCTAACCAGCTGCACTTGGGATGGAAGCCTAGATCAGCTCTGGACTTCCTCCTACCTGAAAACCGACCCTCTGCAACTCCAGGCACACTTGAGTATGGTGTCAAGTATGATAAGTTGCTACAACAAGCTGTCGAGCACATCAAGAAATCTCAGCAAGCGATGATTGCTTCTGTGAACAGACATCGTCGACAGTCCTCATTTCAGGTAGGGGAACGTGTCTGGGTCAAGGCTAGTGAGCTAGGACAGGAATTCGGTATCTCTCGAAAACATGCCTCAGTATTTTGGTCCCTGGGAAGTCCTGGATATAGTGGGGGATGAGATGGATTGTCCTACCTATGTTATCCGTATCCCTGGTCACCTATGCACTCACCCTGTCTTTCATGCCTCAAAGCTTGCACCTTTCGCTGAGACAGATCAATTCCCTTCAAGGAGATCGATGCTGCCCCCAACCAAGGATGGTCAAGTGGACATCGACAACATTGTGGATCACAGAGACTTGCCTGTTCCAAAGCCATTGGGTAGAGGAAGACCTCCCAAACCCAAGAGAGAATATCGAGTCAGATTCAGGCATCATACGGATCCAAAAGAAGATCGGTGGTTCACCAGAGAGGAACTGACTGGCACAGCTCCTTAAGTGGTGGCAGAATATGAGAGGATGTTAAAAGGGAAGGCACCTGCGAAGTAAGCATCTCAGCGGACTTTCGAAGCTAAGGGGGATGGAATGTGAGGATTGAGCCCTCAAAAAGGGCCTTGCCGTGATGTACATGTTCTGGGCTAAGGCCCCCAGCAAGCCTCGTGCCCGCCCTAAGTGAAGGCGGGCCAGCAAATCAACAAGAGCCCTTTGTTCAAACAT